AGTTCTGATTTAGCCCAAACCAGGACATAGACATGCCCAGCTTGGTGAGACCACGAACCGTGCTGCTTCGGGCTTCCTCCCAAAGCCAACCCCATTTTACATCGGTTCAGATGCGTGCAGCATTTTGCGTATCATCTCTGCTTACAAGATAACAGGTGCTTGGATAATTGTATTCCTTCATTATGGAATTCCTTGCCTAATTACACCTGGCCCGTTATGAGCTGATTTAGCGGGTGACGAAAGCAGTGCTGCTCCTCCAGTGGGGCCACGCTGGCTGGCTCGTAGCAAAGCGGTGCAGGACTCCTCCGTGGGTGGCTAATTAAAAACCCCGACGGTTTGGGGCACAAAGTGGTGTTTTGCTGCAACGGCGCTTTGGTTTTGCCAAGCTTGAGAAATAGTTTCTGGGCGTGCAGACCCCTGCGCTCCCTGCCTTTGTAAACAGGCTGTTCCTGTAAACCAACAGTCAAAGTGAGTATCATGGTAATAAACTACCTTTCTCCCCCCTTTTTTTTTAACTTGCTTTTGGATTTTTAGCCTAGTTACCATGGTAACTTTCCACCTTCCTTTTTCTGGCGAGTCTCCTAAGCCGCTGATGGAGGTAGCCTTGGGGAGACAAGGGTGAGCGGAGCAGAGCTTTGCTCTCCTTTGCGCGCTCTCAGTGCGAAGTCGGACATGGTGCTCGATGGGACCTCTCGGGGGCATTAGGAGACTGATGGCTGTGGGCTGCCAGAACATCAGACCTTCTAGTTTAAGTCACTTGCTCCACCAGGACGTTGATTCCCAACCTAAATTTGTCGCCGCAGTCAATTCTGGCATGAGTTATTGCCCGTACTCTGGGGGATGGGTGATCTTCCACGGGATGCTCAGCTTGGAAACGTCGGCGTTCAACCAAGCGCCAGTATTCCATCAGAGAGGGATGCTGCACACCTCTGGCTACCCAGAGATCACTTTTGCTCCCACTGCATCCATTTTACCCGTTTCCCCCTGCAGAATTTGGCCACTCAAATTGCGTCTGTTTTCTTTTTTTCAATCTATCCTTCCTGCCTGCCACACTTTCCACAAGGGAGCTAACTGCTTCCCCTGTTAGGACTGAGATCTTTGGAAGAGATTTACAGCTCCCTGGAGAGCTCGTAGTGAAATGATCTGATTTCTAAGTGTTTCAAAGCAACTCTCGGTTTCCAGGTCTCCCTTGTCGCGGTTAACCACTGACAGATAACACAGCCTGGCTTAGAGCAGGGCTAATCCTTCCCTTTCTCTTTTCAGTTCTTCTGGGTCCTTCTGGTGATCTTCCTCACGGAGCTGCTGCTGATATTCATCGAAATCATCTTTGAGAACAAGGTGGGTGCAATCAGGAGGCCTTGGGATGCTGCACGGTGACAAACTGCAACCCCGCATGTCACCAGGGAGGAAAATCCTCAAGTAGCTGTTAGCGTGCCCCCTGAAAATGGAAGGTTTTCGTTGCTCTTGCTCTTCTGGGCCTGCTCATCGTGCTCCAGAGCTGCGATGGATCTCCAGCACCACCCAGAGCCTCCGCCGCAGCTCCCTGTGCAAATTCTTAGCCAAAAACCTGTGGGTTTTTTTTTCTTGACGACTCATTAAGCTCCTCGCCTCAATTACGTTAACTGCTGGCTTGCGTTTGCAAGGATGGCTTTGAGTTATAGCTGAGCCAGTGAGATGGTAAATTATTCCAACGGATGTCCTTCCTGGCCGCCCGCCTTCTGCTGAAGAAACCCTGCCATTTTCAATTTCATCTTCCCCTCGCGATCGATCAAACGATTAAATAGCTAATCTCGATCTCTGCTGGCTTAATGAATGCACAGCGCAGGAGAACGACATCTGAAGGGCCTACTTAGGGGCTCTAAAAATTGATTCCCCTTTGCACGAACAGCTCGATGCTTTCAGAGCTGTTGGGGCTGGGAGTTACGTGCTTGGTGAGCCCCAAGGACAAGGGTGAGGCTGGGAGCTGCGTGCTTGGTCAGCTCCAAAGTCGAACGGAGGCGATGGGGGAGGACATTGCCTTTTGGATGCTGCAGCCAACTCCATCCAGCAGCTTCCCAGAGCTCTCCAAAACTCTCTGATCCCTGAAATATGTGGTGCGCTGGTGGAGAGATGTACTTCTCCGAGGAAAATCAGATGGCTTGAGTTCTTCCCACATCTAGAAAATCAATATGTGCTGCCACATAGAGGCTGTATTTGTGTGAAGTTCAGCATGAAATCCTCTGTTTTGCTCCACCTTTGAGCCTCGATGATGGTGCTCAGCAGCACCCTGCAGTGCAGGGATGCAACGGAGGAATGCTGGTACCATCAGGAGAGGGGATTGCAGCCTCGTGATTAAACGCCCGGATTGAGTAGAAAACATTAGCGCCTAAATTGTCCCTTAATTTAAATTTAACGGGCAATATCAAAACCTAATTAAAAATCAAACAATGAGGGAGAGAGAAAAGAGAGATCCGACAAGCGATGAATCCACTTGACCTAAAATTGTTCGGAGGCACAAATCTGCATTTGGAACAATGGTTGTTTATTAAAGCTGTTAAAAACATATTTAATTGGATTTTGTATTAAATCAGCAGGGACAAAGAATGAATTTTAGTGGCCTTGAAGCTACCGAACATGGAAATGGACTCTGTTGATATGCAAATGGGTTTGTGGAGATTATTGGAGATAATGGGTTTGGCCGTCCTTGAAGGGAAGGGAGTGGAGAGGTCTCATAACCAGAACTCAGTGATTGAACCCTGTGACAATAATCTCTCACCTTAAACCCAAGATTTAATCACAGAGGCTGCCTCCAGGTTGGCATCTTCTCGGAGGGCAATAGGATCATGGGGTGAGCCCATCTGGGGCGGGGAAAGAAGCAGAAAAACGGTAAAACCCAGGCGTTGCCCGTTGTGTTTGGTCTTGGTGGTGGGCAAACCAGGAACGAACGTTTTAAACAACTTCCACATGAGCAATTTCTTCAAGGTTTTTTCAGATCCCCTCGCCTGATCCCTCGCTGTCGGCAGGCTTTGTTTGCCGCTCTGACGTGTCTTCATTTCTCTTTTTTTTTTTTTTTTTCACATTCTTCTCCCCGTTCCCGGTTTGCCCAACCTCTAATTTTCATGTCAGAATGAATTATGAAAAACAACGTTTTCTTCCCCCCCCCTTCCCCCTGCTTCTAACTCAGAAAAAAAGTTCCTTTTTCCTTCGTTAATATTTCTGCTTGGTGGTTTGTCAGGAGTCGAACGACAAACCTGCGCCGGGCTCTGCATAGGACATTTCGAGCTTCCGCTCCCAGCTCACTAATAAGCTTCCCAGGCATCTGTAAAATACATTTTCGATTCAATTAGTGTTTAATGTGAAGAGCCTGATGTGTCAAAGCGTCCTCGGAGATACGGCTGAAGGAGCAACAGGGAGAGCCCCAGCCTGGCGGCACTGTTCCGTTTCAGGGCATGATTGAATTGCTGAATGATTTGTTGGGATGAGGAGTGATTGAGGGCTCTGATGAGGTCTCAGCTCCTGCACGTAGCTCATCCCACAGATAAATCACCGTGCAGGCGGCAGTGTTGGCTGTCACAGCCCATTTCGCCTCCTCCAGCCCCCCGGAATGCAGCGGGAACCCCCCTGCCGGCAGTTAAAATCCCGTTGGTCGGTGGGACTGGGGAGCTTGAGGGAGTTTACAAAGAAGTCACCCTAATAATTAAATTTAATATGCAGTGTATGGGAAAAATCAGGTGGGTAAAGGTGCGTGGGTCTGCTTGCCTGTGCGCAAAACGGAGAGGTGCTGTGGGATGCTGCTAACCCTGAGAGCTCAAAAGTGATGAACTTTGCCCCAAGAAATAGGCTCGTGACAGCATCTGTGTTACGTTCTTACTCCAGCGCCGTCTGGCAAGGCTTGCTATGAAAAAATTTCCATGTTTTGCAATATTTTCCTGGTGCCTTTTCCACATGTGAGCCGTGGTTTTGGTTTCTCTGTCCCCAGATGAATGAGGTTTTCCACTCCAACATCCAAGAGGGCATCAGGCACTATTACGATGACCTTGACTTCAAGAACATCTTGGATTTTGTACAGGAAAAGGTTTGGTTTTGGAGCGGGGCGGTGGCATCAGGGAGGTCTGGTTGTGCCGTTTTTCAAGGAGTGGTTAACTCGGTGCCTCACTGAAGGAGAAGCATTGCTTTTCCCTGAATTTTTAGAGTTTATCCCCCTCCTTAGTGTGTCTTGCTTGATCTGTCTGGAATGTCTTGATCGTTCTTGGTTTGCGCTGCTCGTTTTGCACAGTTTTGCGTGGTGCTGCTCTCCAAGCTCACCCCCGTGGACCATACCAGGATATTTATATTTCCCAGTCTTGCTGGGAAACTGGTGCCATAATGCCTGAAAGCTTTTTGATAGCTACCCCAGCCTGCAGAGATGGAGGAGTAAAATAACCTGTGCTAAAGCTGCTTCAGGGCTGCAGCGGCCCTTAGATAAGCCACCTTGGGTAGGTTTCTTTACGTGAGGTGTCGTCTGTAGCTGGCCAAGCCCTTGACTCAACAGAAAAATTGCAGAATAAGGTGTTTTCACACAGTAGCTGGAAGGAGAGAAGAGCTCCATGGGCAGCACGGAGGGCAAGTGCTCTTGGGACCGAGAGCGCTATGTCCAGTCCGATACTGGGGCTTGGCATAGTCTGCTCCTGGTTTTTGAGGTCTGTGGTTGTGTGTTCTGTCTCATATCTAATGCTTAGAGCCTGCCAGGAGTCGGCGGGATCCGTCCTCTATCCTTGAGCCAACCTGCGGGTCGATAACCTCATCCTCACGACTCGTATTTTTATTTTTTAACCGAATTTTTGTTGCCTTATATTTTAGGCACCACATAGGTGCTTTGAGGTTCTAAATATTAAATGAAGCGTTAAATTAAAATGCCTTCCTCATTCCTGCCGTTGAGCCCCGGCTAGATGCGTTTCCCTTTCGAAACCCAAGGTGGCTGCGCTTCCGCAGAGCAGCGGTGCATCCCGCCGAGCACATGGAAAAGCCAACTCCAGTCAGGATTTGAAGTGACTGTCCACACCGACAAGCGTGCGGCTGGGCCGGAGAAGCTTGCTTGGCTCTAACGTATCGTTTGGTTTTCCAGCACCGACGAGAAGCCGTTCCTGGGGGTTTGGGGGATGTAGGTTTGCTCATGTTTTGAGGGAGGGTATTCGGTTTACCCGTTATTTGTGTTACTGCGGGAGGGGAGCACTTGGCTCGAATCATTTGACGAATGAAAAAAAAGTGGAAAACCCCAAAAACTTGAACATTATTGCAATTTCTTTGCTAGATCTCTGTCCCCTGGGTTGATTTTTGAGAGCAGAGCCAGGCTTTGCCGGCAAAGCTGCTTTCAGGTGAACTTTGAATGTTCTCACCTCGGCCTGATTTCTCTCCTTTCATTATGGGTTGAAGCATCATAAATATGTGAATCTTATCTCTCACTTTGAAGAAAAGGAGATTGTGAAGCTCCTTCTTTGATGTAGCTGGAATTTAAGGCCGGTGGTGCCCTCCATGCTCCCGTCTCTTGGCTTAAATACCTGCTTTTGACTCTTGGAGTCATCGTTACTGAGCCAAGCGCGTTAATGAGATTGGGAGCCCTCTGAAGGTCTCAAGACATGACTGATTCTGAGAAAGATCTGAATCTTTTTCAAGTTTTACTCCAGCCTCTCTAAGAGGATGCTATAATTCAGACCTGGCTGTATGAATGATAAATGGTTATGCCGCCGCGAGCGGTTGGAAAGTCCGTGTTGGAGCCATCCTCAGCAAGCCTTGGCAAGGAGGTTAGACCACAAATCTCCAGGTAAAGCAGATGTATTTGCAGGAAGGTTTCTGTATCTCCAAACAAGTGAGGGTCAAGCTCTTATCATAGAATCTCACCCCATTTTTACAATATTTTTCCTGTCTACTTCTTCACTGGACTTTTTATCAAAAGCTTTCAGGGGGAGATCTTCATCTCAAAGTGTCTCTAAACACCTCCTCGGTCTGGCTGCCTGTGAGCAAGTAGATAGGGAACTAAAAGAAATTGTGGCCACTTACAGTGATCAGTCTTTACCATCTGCACATTTTACCTTGTAGCAAGAGAAGGAGCTTTGCAAGAACGTGCAGCTCATTGCTGTGAGCTTTTATATTAGCATAGGATTTCCAAACCAGGCACAGCAGCGATGTCAGTGATTAAAATGCAGAGCTGCTTCATCGCGAAGGTAGGACAGGGGAGGAGGAATGCAGAGGAATAACTGCTTTTAAGGGAAGGGAAATTGGTTTTACGGGACCTGAGCAGCCCAGTTCACTTTGGGAGGATGAAAACTTGCAGTCGGTCTGGAAGGATTGCACCCAGACTTGCTTTTTGTGATAAAAGACAAGCTCAGAGCAGCCTGTTATCATCACTTAGTGATTATTCTTGCCATTTTGCCTATTAAAAACCTTGTCTACGTGTAGGTTAGCTGGCGCACGGCTTATTTATGTCAGGCAAACCCACATTATGCTCCTCAGGATTTGAATTTTGCTTAAACCCTCTCTCAAGTGGTGCTTTAAACTAGAGCTAACTGCCTTCACACCCTTAAACCAACATCACACAGTCAAAATAACACGTAATTATGGTCTGAAGTGCCAGACATTAATATTTTACATTAGCAGGATGATGGCGCAAATAATGCGGTTTTACCTGTCAACACCTACTCCGTCTGGTTGCCTGTGAGCAAGTAGATATGGAAATAAATTGCCCTAAAGAAAATAGTACTTATATGTTTTTATGACTCATTTTTGCTGAACTGCTGCCCTTTGCAGCCCTTGGATGTGAGGCAGGCGACCACGATGACTCAAACCCCCAGGTTTGCTGCAGGTCACTAACTGCAGCTCGCCGCCGCTCCTCGCTTTAACTTTTTTCAGCGGTTTGCTGAGCGCAGGTGGAAGAGGAGAGTTCAAACTGCTGTGCTGAGCGCAGGATTTGAATTTCAAAGAGCTGCTGGGGCTGCGGTTCTTGCTCAAACCCGAGTGGCTCCCAACTCAAAGTTAAGACTTGGAGGGATGAGGGTGTTGTGCTTGCAAACCTCTTCCTTTCTTCTCGGGGAAGATTAAAGGCAGCTTTCGCCAGCGCGGCTCGTTCGAGCGTGTTGCTCGGAGGACGATGGTTTTAGCTGTAATGAGCCCCCATCTCATGGGTGGTGGCGGTGATCCTCGACACGCAGAGCTCCTCGGATGTGACCTGTGAGGCTTTTTCCGTGAGCTTCCTTTGGTTTTTTTCTGCTTATTATGCTTCTCTGAGCTCTGGGAGCCTGTACAAAAGTAAAACGCACACCAAAGCCTGTCTCAGCTTCCGAGAAATAAACAGGCACAACAGTAGTTTGGGCTAAACCTCTCTTTGCAGAGAAGAAAACACCCCGGTGAGGCAGCCCAGCAGCTGGTAAGCCTTGTTGTAAGGATTTTGTGCCGATTTTTTGCACAGCTGTAAAAGCAAATGGAAAAAAACTTCTTTGCAGCATGGGGGTATCAAATGGGGAGCAATAGCCAGTATCCCTTTAGGTGGTTTTTCCCCCCTCTTTTTAGGCGACTTTTGCAAGCTGGTCTCCCTCACCCATACGAGTAGGATTAAAAGCAATAGAGGAATTCAGGGTAGGAAGTTAGAAAACAGTTGTAAATCTGTGTGTTGGCCGCTCCTGGCCGTATCTGCCTGTTTTGGCATGGGAGGAGGCCAGGAGGACCGCAAGAGCTGGTGGTCTTTCCTCCTTCCGTTGTCCAAGTGTGGCCACCAAAAAGTGCCACCAACCCATCAGCAGGAGGGGCAGCAGATGCTCACAGGGTTAAACCCCTCCCAAAACCTGCTCCTTGGAGAGTGTAGTGCTTAAAGACATGGGGAATACCTGAGGTTTTCGATCTTATCGAGCACACGCACCTCTCCTGCCCACTTCAGACTTTTCTTTCCAGGGGAAGATGTAAAGATTCAAGCTTGTTTACCAAGAGAAGGGATGACTTGGTATATAATGAGCCCACTTTTGTTCTGTGGAGAACAGAAAATGACTTTCATTAAACTTTTTTTTTTTTCTTTTTCCCTTCATTGTGCGAACAGAAGAAAAAAGAAGCTTTTTCCCTTTGTAGCTGTAGCATTTGATCTCTAATTTAACTTGACGGGAAGAGAAATCTCTGTTAGACTGCGGAGCCTTATTAGCATTTTGTCGAATGGCACCAACTAGCCGAGCTGCCTTCAAGAGCCAAGAAATACATTCATTCACGGCGCTGAGAGAGGCATCTCTCCTGCATGCCCCGGGAACAGGATGGATTAGTCACCTGTTATTAAATCAGTGAAGCATGAATGAGCCTGATCTTTCCTGGGCTTGTGAAAGCAAGGGTGCCTCCAATACACGTGTGTACACATCTGTAACTGCCTCACGCCTCTAAAATGGGGCCAAATGGGGCTAAACACCCACTTGTCTTTTTTTACACGTCTTCAACTTTGTATTTAGGGTCCTGGAAAGCAGAGAATATATCGGGGCGTTGCAAAGCAGCGTTGGAGGTGCAAGGCACAGCTGGAGGGGAGATGCGTTGGTGGGCTGGAGGTGTTGAGGTTTGTTCAGCTGCACGTCTCGTCCTCTCCTTTTCTTCTTTTCGCAGTTTTCTTGCTGCGGCGGCGATGAGTACCGAGACTGGGAGGTTAACCAGTACCACTCTTGCAACAGCAGCGGGCCGCTGGCGTGCGGGGTGCCCTACACGTGCTGTATCAGGAAGGTAAGGCAGCTGAGGCATGGAAAATGCTTTTATTTCAGTCAATATTTCAGCAAAACACCCTCTTCCCGCTAGTTATTACTGCACATTTCTGCACTATCGAGTTTCTTGTAAACTGCATTGCCATCTGGCGAAGCGGTTTGAGACAGCATCCGCCGCTAAAGAAACTAAAAAATATAGATATGGGCTACACTGTATTTTAGTAGGCTCTGCTGTTTTAGAGTAGAATAAGTACCAAAGCACTGGGCTATTACAAGGAGTTGTTAGAAATGCCAAGTTCCTGTTTTTCAACCCAATACGTGGTATAAAATGGTCTGGAGGATCGTTTTGCAAAGAAACGGCGGCACCTTAAAAGGATTTGGCCGCATCTCAGCGTGGATCCGAATGAGCGGTTGTCCTCTGCTTTCCTGTCCCAGAGGACGCGTTCCTCAGCC